GGAAACTTTCGATCCACTTTCTACGTAGTCTCAGATTTAGATAACTGAAAGCTGAACAGGAACTCCTACACCCTTCACTTCTAAACAAAACATGGCAAAACAAAACCCGCTCTGGAGCCTGGCAACAAAAGATTTAGGGGGATTCAAATGGCATGTCAACACAGATGGTTGCAGACAAACCTGTCAGATCTCATTGCCTTTGAGTGGGTCAAAAGCCGCATATCTACCTGTCTGAGCTAATACACAGTTTTCTGATAGTGTTGATTGGCTGAGGGCACAACACCATGCTAATGGCGCTAAATGGTGAGGTCCTATCCATCCATATCTGTCCACGGAGCCCTGCCAAAAGGGCTTGGGGGAGACAGTTCTGACATGAAGTGAAATATGTGCCTGTGGATGTACAAGTGCCCTGGATAGCAGCGTGGTTTTAACGGAGCCCAGAGCTTTACCTGGATCTTGGTGGAAGGATGTTCCTTGGGCTCAGGTAAACTTGTGCTACTAACATAGTATCTTGGCTCTGTTCTCATTAAAGCTACAGATGTTCTCAGGCAATTTAACGTTAAGCTTTGAAACTGTGCTATAGCCATGCCTGGTGTCCGGACACTTTTCCAGAGAAGTGAGAGGTATCAGTGACCCAAGTGAAGTGCTGCTTGACTTGGGCACTCTTGGAGGGAACCGGCTGAAAGTGCTGGGTGTTGCTCAGCCCCTGCCCTGCGCTGCCAGCAGCACCCCATGCCTTCTCCATATTCCCTGGGCCCACGACCAGGCAGTCCTCTGTGTGTTTGATTTTTAAGCCTTTGGGTCTCATTTACACCAGGCCCTGATCGATAGTGCATAGCAAATTGCTCTCCCTTCTTTCAGAATCTCATCCAGGTTCTTAGTGGCCATCTCCATAAGACCTATCCTGGCACTCCGAGTGCTCCAGCTTCCAGCCTCTTTCCTGTAGTCATCCTCATCTCCTTCCTTAGTTTGTTCCAGCACCACTGTTCTCACGGCACTCCCAGGTGCTGGCCTCCCCCAGCATGTTCCTCAGCCTTAGGGCACTGTGGAGAAGTCCCGGAGCCATAGACACAATAAAGACTCGGTTTCATCCATCTGGGCTGGCGATGTTGCCTTCTTTGTATAGCACCAGGATTGTCCGGTCGGGATGGAGACACAAGAGAGACTTAAGAAAGCTCAGTGAGGACAGATTCTCTGGGGATTTAGCCATGAAGCGCTGCTAAGGCTTTGCAGCATGTGTGCGCACTGGAAAAAAAAAATATTTCAAAGGATTCCCACTGATTTTAGTTTGGGGGAGGAGGCGGTCATAAGGATGTGAAGGGCCCTTGCCAAATTTTGACATAACTCCAAAGCATGGGAGTCTGCCAAAGAAAATGTCACTTCACTGATGATATTTTAACATTGCAAAACAATTATCCTTCCTCCCCTCCCCCCACCTTGTTCTGAGAAATGACCCCTTGTTTGTGGAAAATTTCAGTTAAAAAAAAAATCTTCACAAGGCAGACAATCAGAGGGGGAGATGTCATTGCAAACAATTAACATCAAGCGAAGTAACAAGCAGTTACAAAGATGATCTCATAAGAAGAAACCATCAGGCAGTCCCACTAGTCATGTGAAGCTATCAAGCCCATCTTATGGAAAAACAACCAAGTTACTGGATTTCTACCCACCAGAAGACAATCCCTTGGAAAGGAAGCATTGTTCCTGCCTGAGCTACACTTGCCTCCCCACAGGGACCTTGCTTTGCTCCCACCTCCTCTAACATCAGCCACCAACACAACCTGCAAAATTCCTGTTGTGGTCACTTGGCCTCATTCCCCAGCGTATCCGAGGAGGCTGGAGCAAATGACCACTCCTAGCGCAGTGCCACGTATGCTGGAACATGCTGTCCCGCTCTGTGTGTTTGCTTTATGGGATTAGGAACACGCCTAAACCCAAGCTCATGTTGGAACCGATGTTTAACACGCAAAGCAGTCTAGTTTGGAGAGAAATAGCAATGTTACTGTGATTAAATGAAAATAATTAGGGTTAAATGGGGAGGAAAATGAAATTTCCTTGCAATTACTTAGATTTATTATAAGAACGAGTGACATAACTTGTCGGTTTTATCTGCTCTCCATGGTTTTTCCTTTACATTTTTTCCTTCCTGCTTTTAGAACTGAAGTCTCTCTCCTTTGCCTCATTAATAAGAGATTACCTAGCTTGGTGGCAATTTTTGTGTATAAGAAATGGACTTTACTGATATAGTTCTGAAACACTGGTGTGCTTTTCTATTCCAGAAACCCTTTCTGCTATAACCCAAACAGTGAGCACGGCTATCTCCCTAAATTATTGTTCAAATATATGGAAATTATTCTCTTCTCTATGGTTTTGGTGTGGGAAAGCAGAGAAAGCTGCTAACTTTATCTACTCTCCATAAATCCTCCTCCTAGAGCCATGTAGGGTTGTTAAATCAGGACAATGCTTGTGATTTATGAGAAAATTACACAGCCTATTTGATGCACTTTGCTCTGTACATACCCATGCTCAAAAAATCACAGAGATCTTCCTGTTGTGAAGTCTAAGGACAGAAGGTGCTTTTTGGGTGCAGATCAGCACTAGAAGCATCCAATTAATAGCTAGTGAAGTGCACAAGCCTTGCAAAAGTTTAACTGGTGACTGAAAAACAAGAGGCATTTAGGGTTTCCTGTCTTATTTTGTCATAACACAAATATATTGTAACCTTTAAGGCCTATACTCACTGCACTATGAGGATCAAAATCATAGGGCAACAGAGACATGTGAAACAAAGGAGGTTGGGGATGAGGAAGGGAATATTTGGTAAAGGAAAAGTTGGGAGAACCATGGGAGGAAGAATTCCATAGTTTCCCCTCTCCTATTGCTCTCTGTCATTCTCCTCTCTCAGTTCATTTCTTCTCCTGCCTAAAAGCTTGGAAGATACAGTTGCTCGTCCCGTGAAGCTATTCTACATATTGGATCTTCCTTGATGCCCCTCACTGTACATTTCCCAGTAGATGCTTTTTTGAGTTGGGGAATAACTGCACGCTGCATCCCAAATGTGGGTACTTAGCTTGTACTTAGCAATGGTATCCCCCCTTTTCTTAAGTAATTTCTACCACTTGACTTACTGTTTTTGATTGCAACTGAGTGTTGAGCCAATATTTTCATAGAATTGCATAGCGTAACCTCAAACTCCTTCTCTTAATGATACTAGTCAACTCAGAACATGTCATGTCACAAAGATAAGACTGTTTTTCTTTTCCCCCATGAGTATCCTTTTACATTACCTACATTGAATTTAATCTATTTTTATTGTTAGTCACTGAGCTAATTCCACTCTTTGTTAGTGTTCCTACGCATTTGCCTGGTACAGACACAAGGTTTAGTGCTGTGCAATTCCCCAGTTCTCCTCGGCAACCTTTGTAACAAAACTGATGCTATATTACTCATCTTCCTTCATCTGTTGATATCAAGGAAGTTTTAAACAATAATATAATACAGTTGGCGGGTCACTATTTGATCCCTGAGTTCCTTTACAACTCTTAGGTGAATACCGTCCAGTCCTTGCAATTTCTTACTACTCATTTTGTCAGCGTGCTCCTTCATTTCTTCTTCTCGTGCTCTGAGTCCCTCAGGAAAAATTGATGCGGCCAGGAGAGTCTCCCCAATTCCTCCACGGTGAACACGGATGCCAAAAAGCCCACCCTCTCTCTGGTACAGCTCTGGGAATTCCCACAGCTGGCCCTGCAGATGCTCTAGCAGCCTTCGAGCCCCTGATACGTTTGCAAAAGCTTGTGTTTATTTTTTAATTTTAATTTTTGAGGCATCTTTGAACTCTTTGTGGGGGGACTGCCTCATATGGTGTTGCTTCTAATCAGTTATTTTCCTCATTTGGACACATCTTCTCATTTTTTTTAAATTTTTTTGCACATCCTGTCTAGCTATGCCAGCCTCTCCTGCACATTCTCCAGTTTCTTGTGATATACAGCATAAATTTACCCCCAAGACACCAACATGATCATCCGGAGCAGTTCTTGTGCCTCCTGTGGCTTTTAAACCGTTTAATTGCCCTTTCGATTCCTTTCCTAATCCGCTTCTCTTCTTTTCTTCAGTGCTTCCCTTTGAAACTGAGCCTAATAAAGGTGCAAATTTAGCTTTTATTCTTCCTACCAGGAGACTGAAGCTCTGTGCATTATGGTCACTGCTACCAGGCAGCTCCCCAACAGTAACATAGTCATGTCTTTTGCATGATTTTGAACACGGTCATGAGTTTCAGCCCTTGCTGTGGGTTTCCAGATTAGCTGTTCCATCCAAGAAATAGTTATGCAGCAGGTCTGAAAACTTAGGGTCTGTGTCAGGCCATAAGGACATGTACTGACCTACATGGAAGGAGCCGAAATCTCCCCTTACACTTGTGTCTCCTGCCCTCGCAGGCTCTGCTCACCCTCTGGATACTGTCACCATCGGGGGTCACGCAATCTATGGGATCACTTTAATAGCATTTTTATTTGGGGTTGGTATCCCAGAGGCCTGTGTTGCTTGTTGACAGGATTACCTTGTGATTTGGTGTGACTGCTAGTCCTTATCTTTGGAAATGATTCAAAGCCAAGTAAGAGTGAAAGAAAAAAGTCCCAAGGAAAAAACTTTTAGTTTTGTTCCTAGAGGAGAATGCATCTGGGGCTCTGATTTTGCTTTCTTACAAAGTAAGAAAATTCTCACAAAACTGACAAGGAGAGCGAAATGGTTTACTTTTTTTTTTTTTTTAAGCTAGAGAAAGAGGAAAAATAGGATGAAAATTCCAACCTTTTCAAGAGACAAAAATATCAGCCGAACGAGAAAGCTTTTCAACACTGTGTTTGAAACATTTGTGAGAATAGCAAAGGTATAGCTATATTAACTGTATTTTCTCAGCTTTATAAAAACATTTATAAAATATAAATGAATAATAGAGGGAATATTTTTATTAACAAAAATTAAAACACAAGATTTTAATACCTATACAAGGAAAAACAGTTCATTTTATTTAAACAGCAGTTTAGAAACCAGAAACAAACCAAAAAAATTACTTACTTTCCTATGGATTTAAGTTTTTGGGTAAAAGGTTATTGATGGCACCTAAGGAAGCCTTAGGTCTGTAGCAGTTCTCAGGAAATCACATTGCTGACTACAGCACAAAACAACTCAAATTGTGCTGAATCGGTAGGCAGAGCCTTTGAAACTGGGGAAGCTTGTGGAGGAGTTAGAATCTTAAGAAATGCCAATATTATTTCAGGAAGGCGAAAAAAAAAAAATCTTTTTCCAAAGGGAGCAAAACTGGAAGGCGATTAAAACTCAGCAGCATCCTAAAAGCGAACACAATGGTTAACTTTGGAGGTGAGCTTGGACTGAAGCTCACAGATGAAAACGGATATGGGCTTTTCCTAACGCAAGGTTAGTTAGAGCATGGTCCAGCGGGGCTGTAGCCTGGATATCCTCTATTTTTAAGTGCTGAGACACAGCATGGAGCCCACATACGCTAACATGCAGTGATGTGGCAAAACATGGAGTTAGGATCAGCAGCAGTTTGCATGCTGCTGTTTCTGAGGACCACTATCTTAAAGTATCATCTGGATCGGTCCATCTTGTGCAGATCAGGTTTAGCCCTGGCAGGTTGTTCGTGTTGCTCTGGGCTGGGCAAAGTCCGGCTGCCCCTTTCAAAAGGCATGAAGCATATCTACCCTTAGGTTTCATGCTTGGAGTAAGAAAAACTATTTTGAAAAGGGGAGAAAAGCACGAAAAACTCTTCTTCTACCTTTCACCCCCATCTTACGGTGAACTGGAGTGAAGGAAGGTGGTTTGACTACAAAGATCCAAGATATGATTAACACAGCTGGAAACTGTATCAGCCGCAGATACTGAAGCCTTGACTCATAGTGCTTTAGCCACAGTTCAGAAGTCATATCATAAATGTCTAAAAAAGAACATGGTGGACTTTTTTAATGAGATAACCAAGAAATGGGATTTACTTCATATTTTAAGAAATTAGACTATATCAAATGTGTAATAAAAATATTTTCTATAGGATTTTAAAATATATACATATATAACCTACCTTAATTTTAATGCCCTGTTAATATTGATGTGATCTCTACAGTATAAAAGCGTAACTAAGTGAGGTTTCCCAGCAACCTCCATTATACCTCAAACAGTGATTACAAAACGTGAAACCTTGTCTACACTGTAAATTAAACCTGCTTGAAAACTGGACCTGAAATGGTCTGCCAGGCTTGATCCAGCACCTGCTCTAAGTCAATGCTACTTTCACTACTGACTGCGGGACCTGGATTATATCCTAGACACAGTCCCAAAATGGTGTGGTTTAAAACTCTGCTGGCTGGGCAATGCTGAAAGCATCTGAGGGATTTATTGCGACCCTTGGGATACTTCCTGGTAAAACCAAAAAGATGATATTTAGAAACAGTCTTAAGACAATTTGGGTACATCCATGCTTCATTTTGAAGAGGAGCTCAAGCCCAAGCTGACCATGTGTCCAAACTATTCAGACATAGCTTTTGCTCAGATGCTGGATATAGACTTTCATCAAGCTTAATAGGGTACAAGAGCTTGAGGATGATGATGGAGTGAAGAACATTTATGTTTGTCCTTCCAACGGCATCCATCTCCATATACCCCCTCTGTCTTGCTTGCACAGCCCATGTTGAGCAGGCATGTTGATGCCAGCCCCTTCCTAGAAGAGCTCCTATGTCATGTGCCTGTGGTGGCCAACAGGATGGGACAGGCTGGGGTGGCACTTTCATCCCACCCTCTGCACCACAGGCAACCTACAGCCAATGCCAGAGCCAGCCTGGGAAGCACAGTGTGCTTTAGACTGTGACCCAGCCTTCATGTTCACACAGGGCAGCATGGACATAGCTTTGGGTTGTGTCTCCAACACCCAGCTAAATTCGGTTCGTGTTCTCCTTTCCTCTAGCACTGTGCCTAGAGCAAGTTCAGATTTGTTTTCCGTGCAGGGTTTGAAGCATAGTGTAGACAAGGTGTGAGGGCCAGATCCTGTTCTAATGCAGGCAAAATTTGCCAGTATCATTGGCCTGAACGCTTCCCCTTGCATTATACTTTAAGGTAGGAAGCATGGGAATTCTCTTGCTTTAAAGAGTTAATGTATGGAATTTGGCCACCTGCAGAGGAAAGTTTTTCACTGAGCTTTCGGTTCATCTGCTCCATGTGCCTGCTGTTTTTTCTGGCTTGCCGGAGAGACCTCTTGACTTTCTTCACCCGATCTCGTAGCTGTTTGTTGCGCTTCTCCAGCGTTGCCACCTTCTGCTGCAGCTTCTTCACTCTGTCCTCTTCCTCGAACAGGGCTTTCTGGACAGAGGAGCACATGAGCTGAGGAGATAGCAGGGACGAAATAGGAACAGGTGAGCTTTACATAGAAACTTATTAAAGAAAGAATTAATTCAGGTGTTCATACCATCAGCTTACACTTTTTCTACGAAAAGCTTCTTTTTCACTTCTGTATTCAGATAAGACCCAAAATTGCAGATCTTAATGCTATTTACTACTCACAATGACTTTTATGAGCTGTTTTGAGAGGCCTATCCAGCCCACTGAGGTTACATTGAATTCATGGGGGAAGAATATCTCATTTCCAGTATGAAATTGGAGTTCAACCTAGGGGTTGTCACAACTGGAAAACTGTAGATTTCATTCAATTTAGAAGCCCATCAGAAACTCCAGATTTTGACATGAGCCCACCCTTTGCTCTTTATGTAAACATGTGAAATATGGACAGCACCCATGCAAAACACTGAACAGATTGTTTCTGCCTTTTCAAGACTTGAGTTGTCTGAGACATCTTAATATGTGTGCTTCTTTCAGATGAAACTCAGCAGGGTGAGATCCCAGCAGCCTCTAGGAGCATTCAAAAACCTGTAACTTTAACAGAATTGATTTATTTCTTGGGTCATCAGCTGAGTCTAATGCTTTTTTCCTACAAAAATCATCCTTAGATGTTTAACAGGGCAAGTGGGACTTTCAGCTGATTGCTGCAGTGGTGTGGTGTGAAGAAAGGCAGTATCTTCTGTTGAATTTATCTCCTATACACAGCCATATTTTTTATGTGTGTTTCAAGCACTCCTGGAGCCTCTGGATGGGCTTCCTCTGGCAGAACATTTGGAACAGACAGGGAATCTAAATAAACAAGTAAATCCTCACTGTGATGATGAAGGATTACATGTTTCTTTCCATCTTGCTTTGTAGTATTTTCAACAACTGCAAATGGGGGAGGGAGGGGGACTCAAACCCACTTTGATGGATAACATTTCATTTGTCTTGGAAACCCCCGGCAGCTGAGGGCCACAGCCAGTTAACACGGCAACTGCTTCCCACAGCCACCAGCTCTTGATTCTTTTGCAAAGGCACTGCAGGGCTTTGCAAAGAGGGAAATGTTTGCCCTGACTTTCCTCTCACTTGGTTCCTTCATAAATGCATGCTTGGGAGACTGGGAACTCACACATAAAGACCAGGTATTGTACCGAAGAGGAGAGAATTTGGTTTTGATCAAAGCTAATTCCAAGAGCTACTTGAAAACTGCCAGAACCTCTCGGCTTTTGTGTTTGCCAAACCCTTGCAAAGCTTCAAGTAGAACACTTTCAAATTTATAGCACTGCAAAAGAGAGCACTAAGTTAGAAAAAGTAGTTTATTAGGAAAGCATCAGGTGGTGACTCTCCTTGCTGAAGAATTTCTTGCATTTTTTGTTGAGGCACTGATAGGTGTAGGGCACTACAGAGATCAAAACAGAGTAACACACAACTCGTGCTCAAGTGCTGCTGAAGTGTGAGGTGGTGTGAACCCAGCTGTGTCGCATCTACCTGGGCTGGCTCCTGGGAGAATGGGAACTTCTGATGGCTGACATCAGGGATGACATTAGCTTCAGCACAGAGGTACTTCCAAACCTTTGAGGTCCGTCCTCTCTAAGCAGAGGCACCCAGTTGCACAGAGGCACTCAGAAACTTCTCAAATGCCTTCAGAGCTTGCCAGCTCGTTTGCTCATGTTGTGCCTCCTTCAGATCCTCATTCTCCAGTCTGAAACCTACCTTCTAGTTTTCAGTCTATGCTTCTCCCATGGAACCCTACCTGCTCCTGCGCTAACATTTCCCGTTATATAAATGGCCTTGCCTATCTGGAGGCAACAATCATGGTCCCTCTCAGCCCTTGTTTACAATGTTCTTCAACCCCTCTCTGTTCCTGTAAGATGTTACTCCTCTCTGAGCACGTTTAACTTTTGCTAGGCTTACAGAATCAGCATAGCAAAGACTGGGAGCCAAATGTTAGTCCTCCCTGTGCTGCAGCCACAGATTTTCTTAGATTCCCTGGAGATTTCCAGAGAGATCACTGGAACGATGCAGTTATAAAAGCTAAGTTATTGTCCGACCTGCACAGCTTTCCTTACCGACAGGGCGAGCCACTGGAAGGACCCAGCTTGATAATCAGATGTCTGCCTGCAATTGCAGGACTGCCACCCGAAAAACCACCTCCTTTGCTCCTTCAGCAGGAGGAAAAAGAACAAAGGGCAGGGGGGCCTCACATCCTTGCCAGCTGGTTACAAATAGCTTATAGCACAGAGATCTGCAGTAAAGATGATGTTCAAATCTGAGTGCTGTCCTGCCTCTGCTTGTTACTGCTGTGCCTACAGTTCACATGGGTGCACCTAAGTTATTTTTAAGCTATTAGCTCTGATGTTGAGAACTGTCCAACTGTGACAGCTCAGAGCTCAGCAGAGTCTGTAGGTGAACAAATAGGTGAGAAGTTAACCAGACCTCAGTCCATGTTGCTACTCGTGTACCTCTTCTTTGACAGACATTTGAAGCGTGCCTACATTGTGCAGTAGTTCCTATGGAGCATATTACAGACGGGGGGGGGGGGGAGGACGTTTCACACCCCGTTTTCTCTGTCTCATACATCCATAAACACGCAGTTTGCACTCACGATTATCAAGATCAAACCTTAGTCGAAACGTATTGGTAAAAGCTAGAGAGAACTGGATTAACTGGATTTTGGTTCTGGTTGGGTCCTACAGCCCCACTATCCACCACAGACTGCCACTTTCAAGTACGGTACAGAGGGGCTTTTTCTCTCTCTCTTTTTTTTTTTTTTGATGCCATTATTCCATAAATGGGATAATGAAATCTCCATCCAGTAAGCTAAGTCACTGAAGAATTCCCCTCTTTCTTCTCCCAGTCCCACAACAACAAGAGGGTTTCAGAGACCCGTGAGGACGAAGGCTGCACATGTGCCAGAATGCAGGAATAAATCTGCAGCTTTCACACTGCTCAGCCATTCGCAGACTTTGGCAGATACACTTCAATGCAGATATTTGAGTGGGCACTAAATTCTCCCCTCCTCCTTCCAACCACAGAGGGAGGACATTGAGAATCCCTACCAGCCAGGACAAAGGCGCAGTCTGCCCTGAGACGTGCTGGGTGGGTCAGTCGCCTCTGCAGATGAACGGGAAGAGGGAGTGCTGGGAGCTGGACATGATAGCAATGGCAAACAGATGAGCAACAGCTTTGAAATGCTACACTCAGCATAACACGCACACCAATTGGCCTGAGAAATGGAGTGAAGGACCAGGAGATAGGGCTTTTCAGACAAATCTATGAATTTTTGTTCTAGGTTTCTTTCAAAAGTTACACTCTCTACAGACCTACAGGTCAGAGGAGTTATCTCTTCTGGAAATCTCTGGTTGGATGGTCTATTTTTTCCACAATTTTGTTAGCAAGCCATCCTCAACAGTAGTTAAAGTCAAATCCACAGCTGTACTAGAAGATGTAACAAGAAAGGTAGTACAACTGAGTTATATATAAATTTCCATCTGACACACTAGGCTGCCTTCTACAGATGAAATTGCCAATAAGCTGCACTAGACTGGGACAGCGAACAAGAAACCCTCCATGGACAAAGGCAAGATGGTAGTGTTTATCCAGCACAAATTGTATATAAACGGTTGCAGTTAGCATTGCAGAACCCAAGTCCCACAGCAGCAACCAGGCCCGGCCTTTCATCTACCAAACGGAGAGAAATTGAGTTCTAGCTAGCTCCTGAAGCATAGACCTGACCGATAGCACTCCTAAAAAGCAGAGGAACCTCATTACCCGAAAGACTTTCAACTTAGAGCTAAAGGCGTCTTTCACACCAGCCAAAATTTTTGGACGCTGTTAAATACAAGATCGGAAAAAAAGAAATGCCTTTAGATGTGTGACAACAATCCCTGGTTTCCTCCGCATGGACATGATGTGCTTTTGGAAGAGTTAGGCAAAGGTCATTTTGGTTTCTTGCCTTCAAATCTTCCTCCTGACCCACGCTGTCACCTGGAGCAGTGTCTAGCCATGCTTGTGCTACTCCAGCATACTCCCGTGGCATGCGTTCTTCTGAACGGAGAGAAAGTAAAGCTCCTGAGCCTGGGTACTCCTTCTTTAAAAAGATGGCTACCTTCTCCTTTGGAACTGGCACCCATTGTCCCTTCGGGCAGCTATGGGATTGCTCCCTTCGCTGGCCTCCCTGCCGTCCAAGGCAGCAGTCAGCCCACAGCAGCAGACATTTCGTCTCTCCCTTGAGCGTGGTGCACCGTCCAGGAGAAAAATGCCAAAAGCAGATTCCAAACCCAGGATCGCCCCAACAAAATCTCCTTACCGGCAGCACTTGGGAGTGTCCGGTGGAAGAAATGAGAGCTGCTCACTCTGGAAACGCAGCCCAAGCGCTGTGGGTTGGGAACCACAGCTCCTCCTCTGCTGCTGAGCTGCTTTCTGCATTGTGCCCGCAGCAAGCTCATCATATCCTGCATTTCTCCCCTCTCGTCCTTCCCTGCTGTAAATCTGCTCCCCAGAGAAGGCAAAAAGCTTTCTGCATTGGCTGCGCATTGCCTTGCCGCTCTGTGCTCTGTGCACTGTTACAGTTACGTAAAACATACTAAACCGAAACCTTACAGAGCACGAAGCACGTACATCCAGCTCTTTATTTGTTTCAACGCAGCAATAATTCATGTGCTCTCTCAGAAGGGGCTTGGGATCCAAACATAGCTTTTTATTTTTCTTTAACTCCATCAGGATTTGTTTCCCAATCCCCTTCTGTCTGCTCAGCAAGCAGGGCTCTGTGCCCACGGAAGCCGATGCGGATACAACGCGGCTCACTTAGACAAATCTCGCTTCTCTTGGCCGGAACGGTCCCCTTTGAGCCCTTCCTTACCAGATTTCAGACCCTGAGCATCACTCTCTCATGTTCTGCCTCTTGGGCAGGCAGTGAGCATGTTGGGTGGATGGGGCAACAGTCCACTTGCCAGTGATGCGGCAAAGGATAGCAGGAGGGGTCTGGCAGCAGAGGGGACTCA